TATAAACTCTTATTCTTGCCAGTGTTACTGTTTAAAACAGTCTGACAGAGTTTATAACTTTATTTCTGATAACATGTCATAAACTGTTTCATTTTACATGTTATCATCTATGTAAAGCAGTAAAGACTGTGTGGATTCCACAATTGCGCATTAAGTGTGTGGATGCCTGGTTTTGGTCATGATGCAGCAAGGGATTTTTCCCTCAGTGGTTTCCATCAACCTTTGTTTTTTCAGCTTCACAGTTGCGACATGGATGCATGTGATTCGTGGGAAACAGGATGACATGAACTTGTGCTGATGTCATTGGTCAGGTGACAGAGCGAGACAGAGGAGGAGGAAGAGAGAAAGAAAAAAAAAAACAGTTTGGGCTGCAGCCTTTTCACAGCTCTTTGTTTACACTCACTTGGAGACTTGTGTGTTGGGTGCAGAGAGAACTGTGGCCTGCTCTTTCTTTGAGTGGGTAAACAGAGGGAAGTTAGGCGAGATAAACTCTTATCTTGAAGATCCCAGCACATTTGATTTTTCTTTGCAGGTTATAGCATGCAGGGTCGGCCTTATGTCTGGGCCCAAGGTATGATAATAATATATGAACACATGTAAATGTTACATGAAATAAAAGTTCAATTGGGTGTTTTTTTCTACTGTACTTTGATTTCATTTTGGAAGAAGTCGTTTCCTTTCCCACAGTTTTCCTCTAGTCCTTCTTCTTTCTGCTGTAACTTGAACGGTGTGGAACTTCATCTCGAGCCAACACCCTATATGAAAAATGTAGTCTGACCTGAGAAATGCTGCTCGACTGTAGCAGCAGCAACGTGTCACATTTATAGTTCAATAGCCGCCAGCATTGCATCAGATGTGTTATTTTCTGTTTCACTTTAAGCTGATCTCTTAACTGTATAAGAGGGGAGTGGCTCATCTGGGCCTTTTGTTAATAATTAATACACTTGTTATCAGCATTTAAACAAAAACCTTTTGTTCAGAATAGATTCTCCCTCCCCCCCTTAAAAAATCCTGGTACATTGCTCAACATACAGAAGTTAAGATCACAACTTGTTGACACCACACAAAGCTGGAAGTGTCTGACTGGGCTTGAAGCCAAACTCTTTATCTTCTTAAGTGAGAGGACCGGTAGTGTTTCAGCTTCATCATTTAGTGTTTAACCTTGTTTCAACACCAACATCCTGCTACTAGCAGGCTGCTCGTCAGAATATTTGCCTCTCATGCAAATTATACATATTGTGAGGGAAAGCAGAGGTTGCACAGAGGTTTGCTTTTATTCATTAGCTTTTTGGTTGAATTGGAAACACTCGCCTCAAGTCAGGATATTTGCTCCTAACTCTTGATTTATTTCTCGTTACATTTCTTATGAAACCACACGTTTGAGGATGTGGGACTGCCTCATTTGTCTGGTTCAATTTCCTGTCAGTGAAGTGAAAGATACCTTCTCTGAAATCTGGATGTTACAATTCTCGAATATGTGCTCAGAACACCAACTGTCTAAATATGGTTAGACTGAAGTCTCTGTTAACAGGAAGGTTCCCATCAGTAATATATCATTTAACTCACTCAGATTGCCCTGGAATGACCCTTTCAGACCATGTAACTAAACTGTTACATTTTTTTTTCATTCTAAAGTCTCATTTTGTGTGTTCATGTCAGTTTATTTCTGTAAATTAAATCATACCTATAGCCTTCTCCATACCTTTTGATGTTCAGTCTGAAAGATATAAAACTTCTAATGTATAATAGGTGTGTTTTTGCAGAATGTACAGCTCAACAAATCCTGGTATTATAGTGCCACCATCTGGATTCAGCCAGAAACCTGTTTTGCTGTTGACCCGCCTTGTGAAATATATTGAATTGTCCTCTTGTTCCCTGTTGCTGTATTTTAATATTGGAAAAACACTTTTTCGTGATTCATAAAACTTTATTCTTTATTTGAATATTCTTTGTACAAAAACATGGTAAAACATTCTGTAAAAAAAATAGATATGTATAAAATATAAGTAAAATACAGTATTAGTACTCTACACAGTTAAACATCTTATGCTGAATAATATATCGTAAAATAGTGCGAGGTAATCAGCAAAGGGAAATGTTATGAAAATACCTGGATTCGCAGAATAGCGGTCATGTGGTTAATGTTTGCTTTTAATGCAATATGAACAACAGAAAGTTGCAAGGAAGCACGGCTTGATACATGTAATGCATCATGGGAAATATGCAGGGACATGCTGTATTGCTCACGTCTGTGTCGTTGAAGAGTCTGTCAACTCCTGAGGTTTATTAACATTACTGTTGATGTGTGTGTGACTCAGATAGCGATGGAGTTGGAGGTGTCGGCAGACTCCGACCAAACAGAGCTTCTCCTGCTGAGGACAGACTGGAATTTGGCACTTGTCTTCATCCTGCAGCCCAGAGACCTCAGGATGTCTATGAGCTGACGCCGGAACTTCACGCCCACAAAGGCGTACAGGACGGGATTGAGGCTGCAGTGGAGGTAACCCACGGAGGAGGTGATGGTCTTTGCTTTCTCAAGAGATGATCTGATGCTGCAGGTATCGCTGCTGTTGACAGAATGAAGTGTGTCCACCATGAGCGTGATGTTGAATGGCGTCCAGCAGAGAAAGAAAACCACCACCACAGACACGATGACCCTGAAGGCCTTCTGCTTTTGGAGGCCCTGGGAGCCGCAACGCAGCTGCCGCAGGATGCAGGAGTAGCAGAAGATCAGGACCGCTGAGGGGAGCAGGAAGCCCACAATGTGGTAGAGCAGGCGAGATGCCTGTCGCCAGTCGCCTGCTGATTGAGAGGCAAACTTGTAGTAATTGCGAACGCACTCTATTTTGTTTCGTCTATCATCCTTCACAGCCTCCAAGAAGACCCAATCAGGGATAGAGAGGAGCAAGGAGAAAGTCCACACGGCAAAGCAGCTGGCATTAACAACCCAAGGCTTTTTACGGGAGTACATGTGGGTGGCATGCACGATGGACAGGTAGCGGTCCATACTGATGCAGGCCAGCAGGAAGATGCCACAGTAGAAGTTGAGCTGAGGGAAGAGAAATTAGCCAGTATCAATTAAAAGCTTTTCCATAATACAGGTAGTTTTAGTGCATCTTTCCTGTTGCAAACCCCTTACCGTGAAAAGAGCCCCAGTGATCTTACAGAGAGGAGTACCAAAGGTCCAGCCATCAACTTGAGCAGCCTCTGCGGCCCAGAAGGGCAGCGTCACCAGCAGCAGGATGTCAGCCACACCCAGGTGGAGGATAAAGGTGTCTGTCACGCTCCAGCTCTTCCTGCTCTGAACCAGAACCCCCAGCAGCACTCCATTTCCCAGGATGCCCACAAGAAACGCCACAGAGTATAGAACTGGGATGAACACCGCCTCGAAATTCGTGTCGTCAGCCAAGTTGCACACGTCGCCCCCATCACAACAATCGCTCACATTGCTGGAGGAGTCGTTGTATAAAAAATCAATGCCATCAAGAAACCATTCTTCGTCCAGTGTTATTGAGCCACCTGTCTCCAGAAGTGAATTCTGCAGAAAAAGAAGAAATTAGTTTGGTTTGAGCATTGGAGCTGTACAACCACATGGTGGTGCTGTCTATCTCTCTCTCTTTCTCTCTATTTCTATCTCTCTCCCTCTCTCTTTCTCTCTCCCTCTCTCTCTCTCTCTCTCTCT